CAGGTTCCCCCAGCAAGGCATTCCAGGTGTTGAAGGATCACTTTCTCCCTTTGAGCCAGAGTCAGATTCGTGTGCAGGAGAACAAACTGAAGTCATTGCGCATGCGTACAAACGAGAACCCATCCACCTTCTTTGCATCTATGAGAGAGACGCTTGGTATTTTGCAGATGCTGGAAGTCAAGAAGGAGGACAGGGAGGTGTGCACACTGATGCTAGAGGGACTATCCCACGAATACAAGACTTTGCGTGAGACTCTTGTAGTGTTTTGCCCGAACGATCCTGCTTTCATCGAGACCAAAGTACGTGAGCGTTACTTAGACTTGCAGACACAGACTGGTACGAAGAAGCACAGTGTAGCTCTTGTGTCTAGGGCAGAGAGGAAGAGTAGCCGGAAGCCGAACCACGCAAAGTAGAAGTCTCACCCTGAATCTGATTCCTCAAAGAAGAAGTTTCAGGGAACGTGTTACAAGTGTGGGGAGAAAGGTCACATNAGAAGGATGATACAGTGTGGGTGTGCTGCGCCAGGCAGAAATAGGATGGTGGTTTTTGTTCGACTGTTTGAAGAAAGACTCTCTCAAAACCATGGTTAGGCATGCAGGTTCAGCAAAGCATTTCGAGTGTTGAAGGATTACTTTCTACTTTTGAGCCAGAGTCAAATTCATGCGTCCAAATGAGAAGTCTGAGAAGTCTGGACTTGGTGTTGCTATCTAAAATCAACTGGAACAACTCGAGTGATCTGACGTGTCCGGCAACATCTAGATGCTTGCTACGGGTGTTCTTGTTCAGTGATGATGCTGTCCGCAACTGCTCTTTTCTTGTGAGGAAGGATAGATGTGTGGTAGGTTGGCATGCGGACATGGGTACTGCTCACATGACAGACCGTCTCTCTTACATGAAGGATTTGAAGTCTTGCCACAAGAACGTAAAGCGAGATTGGTAGTGTGGCTTGTGAGGTAGCACTCTCTGGAACCCTAGAGTTTGTGTTTGTGACTGCTGACAGCGAGTGTTCCGTAGAGTTGGAGAACGTATTGTACTCTCCAGACTTGGGATACATGCCCCTCCTTAAGGGATACAACCTCTTTTCTCCAAGCGCAGAGTTTGATGGTGAGTCATGGAATTACCTTGGTGTCTGAAAGTGTGAAATTACTGCTTTCGAATAACATGTCCCTATTCAGAATTTCGATCGCGTGCTAAATTTCGACTGGGTACCGAATAGACCGGTAAAATGCATGCTTGTACGTGATGTTCGATATCGAAGGCATTCAAGAGAGGAATTGCTCATGAAACTTAAATGCAGATCAGGCAAAAAGTTGGGCAGAGTTTTTGTTGACCTGGGAGGGCGGAAGGACGTTGCGTCCGTAGGGGGTAAACATTACCCCATGGTCGTGAAGGATGACTTCACGAGACGTACATGGTTGTGTTTCCTGAAAAATAAATCAGACGCTGGGAGGGCTTTCCGAAGTTTCCTTGTTGGTGTGCGTGCTGATGGAATCCCATCTTTGGTTGAGATAGTTAGATCTGACAATGGGGGGGAGTGTTTCGGAGGGGATTTTACTTCCGTGTGCAACGAGCTCTTGATTAAGCAAGAGTTCACCCCGGCTTACAGTTCCCAATACAACGGTGTTGCAGAGCGTGAATTGGGATTGATTGAGGCGGCGGCAATGGCTGCTCGTATTCAGGCAAAAGTTTTGTTTGGGCATGTGCAATTACCTAAGACTGACAGACTATGGGCTGAGGCGATGCATTGGGCTTGCGAAGCAATTAACCACACAGCTTGTTCCGCTAACCCTGACAGTAAGTCGCCATATGAGATGTGGCATGGTGAAGCTAGTCATGCTAGACCGTATCCGTTTTTGAAACCGGCGTACTGTAGGTGGCAGCGTCCGTCTAAACTGCTACCGAAGGGTGATTTATGTCGGTCCTTCGAGAGACCACCCGCGTGACTGTCATAGAGTACTTACGAGGGTTGGAACTATTCAGGAAACGAGGAATGTGACATGGGAAGCGTTGCCGTCACAACTCCCTCCACCGCAACTGTCTCTCTTGCCGATCGAGGTAGCAGAGGAGGGAGGGGAGGAATGTGATGACGATGTAGAAGCTGAGGTATGGCCGCTTTTAGGGAGAGGAGTTCCCCACATTCTTTTGCGACGTAATGTAGCGGTCTCTGGTGGAGCAATCGATGAGGTTGGCAGTATTGATGCAGGCAGTGTAGGTCAACCCCCCTCTGTGCCCTCTTCGCCCGCGATAAATTCCCCTAGTAGCGCAGCTCCCCCGGTGTCTTCTCCAGCAGACGATGGCACTGATGAGGGAGGGCCGGAGACAGGGGAGGCAGAATCGGCGGGTCCGGGAGGGCAGGAGGTAGAGTCAGAGAGTCAGGAAGAGTTGGTTGAGCCGGGAGGGCAGGAGGTAGAATCAGAGACACTTCCCCCTGCTACGCACGTTCCATCCAATCGTCGTGCGCGGCATGAGCTTGCTAGTTACAACACTGCTGTGAATGAGAATGTTGAAGTCAGAGAAGGCAGAACCCGTGCGCAAACTCGGGCAGTAAATCAGCAGAGCGTACCCGTGGATAGTGCATCACCCCGAGGATTTATGGTACGTTGATAAGCACGGTAGCCCCTGTTGAGTCGTTGTGTCCCGATATTATTGTGTTCCGGTAATGTGTTCTGCTTTCGTGCGTTGGTCGAGCGACGGGTGGTGCTGTGGTGCTGTGGTGCTCGCCCCACCCTTGCTCACTCTACCTTTTGACCTGTTCTCCTGGTCCAAGGTCTCATTAATACAACATCTTTTCCCCAGAAGCCACGAGTTTACCAACAGTTGGTCTGGGGTTCATCGCTGATGATGTTGTTGTTGTTTCCGTTTGTTGTTTGTTGTTCAACGCTGCCGGCCTCAACGCCTTTTCTCTGGAGAGAGAGGGAGTCCCACCAACCAGCGTGTGTTGCACACACCACACAGCGAGAGCGGGACGGGAGCAGGGTGTGCCCTATACTACTGCTGCTGCTAGCTTTCGGCGGAGGAAGCGAGA